GAGAGCGCGCGGAGGCCGTCCGCCGGGCCGGGAGGCGCAGGGCCGAATCGCGCGGGCGCTTTGTCCTTCGGACTCGCAGGTTGCCACGGAGACGACGCGCCGCGCCGGGGGGGCGCCCTCGCAAAAGCAAGGAACGCCGAGCGTGTGATTGGAGTTCACGTTCGAGACGCCCTCGCAAAAGTCCACGCGCTGGATTCGGAGCCGCGGTGGGCCCACTATCGAGGCCCACATGTTGAATTGATGCGTTGCTCTCCGCGCGCTCGCTCGGCGGCGGGCCGGCGCGGGCCCCCCTTTCGGGGGGCGGTCAGGGCGCGCGGCGCCCGGGCCCGTGCCGAGCGCGAGGCGCCGAGCCATCGCGCGAGAGAGCGCAGAGGGCGTTTGCTGGGACAGGAGGCGCAGGGCCGAATTGCTAGGCGTTTTGCCCTTCGGGCTCGTGGTCTACCACGCAGCTGGCGCGCCGCGCCCCAGCATAATGCCCCCGCAGCGCGCAGTCAGGACTCCCCGTCCGAGTCGCAGGAGTAAAGGGACACCGCGCTGGCGACTGGTGTTCCCGTTCGAGACGCCCTCGCAAATGCCCGCGCTTTGGGTCAGGAATCGCGACGGGGCCTCCATCGGTATTTAGATTTTGAAAAGATGCGTCGCCATCCGCGCGCTCGAGCGGCGGCGGGCCCCGCGCCGGCGACCCTGGCGGGGCCGGGCGGCGGTCGGGCGCGCGGCGCCCGAGCCCGCGTCGGGGGCGAGGCGCCGCGCCATCGCGCGAAAGAGCGCGGAGGCCACCCGCCGGGTTCAGAGGCGAAGGGCAAAATGGCACGGGCGATCTGTCCTTCGGACGCGTCGGTTGTCGCATCGACGACAACCGCATCTCGCCGCGAATCCCTCCGAGGCGCGCGGCCCGTAGTTCCCTTTCGAGACGTCCTCGCAACAAGCAAAGCCGCGCCTTGGGCTGGAGTTCCCGTTCGAGACGCCCACGCAATAGAAAATCGCGCCCGGGGCTGAAGTTCCGCGTCGAGACGTCCTCGCAGACGCCCGCGCCTCGGACTCGGAATCGCGGTGGGCCTTCCGTCGAAGTCTACATTTTGAATGGGTGCACTGCCTTCTGCGCGCTCGTTCGGCGGCGGGCCCCAGGCGGGCGACCCTGGCGGGGGGCTGCTGGGGCGCGGCGCTCGAGCCCGCGCCGAGCGCGAGGCGCCGCGCAATTGCGCGAGAGGGCGGCAGAGGCCGCCCGCTGGGTCAGGAGGCGCAGGGCCGAAATGCACGGGCGTTCTGTCCTTCGGGTCCGTTGGCTGCCATATGGCCGCGGCGCGCAATCGGGAATCCCCGTCCGAGACGTCTGCAAAACGTCGCGCGTGGGATTGAGCCTTGAGCCCCCCGTTTGAGGCGCTCTCGCAAAAGTCCGCGCCTTGGATGCGGAATCGCGGTGGGTCCTCCATCGTGACCCACAGTTGTGACCCACAGTTTGCACAAACGCGCTGCCTTCCGCGAGCTCGCTGGGGGGGGGGGGGGCCTGCGTGCGCGACCCTGGCGGGCAGAGGTCAGGGCGCGCGACGCTCGGGCCCGCGCTGAGCGCGAGGCGCCGCGCCATCGCGTGATAGAGCACACGGGCCGCCCGCGGGTCAGAAGACGGGCCGAAACGCGCGGGGCGCGCTGCCAGTCGGATTTGCGGGCCGCCATAAAGCCGACGCGCCGCGTCTCTTCGCGCCCCCCCCGCAGCGCGCAGCCAGGGGCCCCCGAGACGTCTTCGCAAAAATAAAAACGAAAACGCGCGTTGGACTGGGGCCCCCGCTGGATGCGTCTACGTCACAGCCCGCGCCGTGGATGTGGCATCGCGGTGGGCCTCCCATCGAGTCGCGCGCCGGGGGCGGACGCGCCGCCCTCCGCGCGCTCGTTCGGCGGCGGGCCCCGCGCAGCCGACGCCGATGAGGGCGGTCAGGGCGCGCGACCATCGAGCCCGCGCAGGGCGCGAGGTGCCGCGCCGTCGCGCTGGGGGGGCCTGGAGACGCAGGGCCAAAACGCACGGGCGTTTTGCGCTTCGGACTAGGTGGGCGCCGCGAAGCCGACATGCCGCGCATCGCCGCGATCCCTCCACGGCGCGCAGCCGGGGGCCCCCGTCCGAGACGGCCTCGCAACATGGAAACATCGCGCCCGCCGCTCGAGACATCCTCGCCGAAGCCCACGCCTCGGATTCGGAGTCGGCGCGGGCCTTCCGCGGGTCCACATTTCGAACGGACGCGCTGCCCTCTGCGCGCTCGTTCGGCACCGGGCCCCGCGCGACCGACCCAGGCGGGGGGCGGGCAGCGCGCGCGACGGCCGAGCCCGCGCCGAGCGCGGCGCCGCGCCATCTCGCGAGGGAACGCAGGGGCCGCCCGCTGGGTTAGGAGATGCAGGGCCGAAGAGCACGGGTGTTCTGTCTTTCGGGCGCGTCGGCAACCGCGCAGCCGACGTGCCGCGCCCCGCCATCATTCCCCCGCAGAGCACAGTCAGGAGAGCTCATCAGAGACGCCCTCCAAAGATAGGATCGCGCTCGAGACTAGAGTTATGGTGCGGGGCGCCCTCGCAGATGCCCGCGCCTCGGATTCGGGATTGCGGCGAGTCCTCTATGGAGGTCCACGTTTCGAGCAGATGCACTGCCCTCCGCGCGCTCATTCGGCGGCGGGCCCCGCGCGGCCGACCCTGGCGAGGGGGCGACCAGGGCGCGCGATGCTCGAGCCCGCGCCGAGCGCGAGGCGCCGCGGAATTGCGCAAGAGGGCGTCGATGGCGCCCGCTGGGCCAGGAGACGCAGGGCCGAAAGGCATGTGTTTTTTTGTTGTCCTACGGACTTGTTGCTTACCAGACGCGCTGCCGTCTGCGCGCCCGTCCGGCGGCGAGCCCCGCGCGGGCGGCCCTGGCGGGGGAGCGGCCGCGAAGGCCCGAGCCCGCGCCGAGCGCGAGGCGCCGCGCCGTCGCGCGAGAGAGCGCAGAGGCCGCCCGCTGGGTCAGGGGGCGCAGGGCCGGGGCGCATGGGCGTTTTGTCTCGTGGGCGTTGCGGCTAACTTGAGGTGGCATGCCGCGCCCCACCATGATCTATCTCCCCGCGGCGTTCAGTCGGAATCCCCGTCCGAGGCGTCATCGCACAACGCGCTGGGCATTGGGGTTCCCGTTCGAGACGCCCTCGCAATGCCTGCGCTTTGGATTCGGCGTCGCGGTGGGCCCTCCATCGAGCTCCGCATCTTGAACGGACGCGCTGCTTTCTGCGTGCTCGCTCGGGGGCGGGCCCCGCGCGGGCGGCCCTGGTGAGGGGGCGGTCGGGGCCCGCGGCTCTCGAGCTCGCGCCGAGCCCGAAGCGCCGCGCCATCGCGCGAGAGAGCGCGACGGCCGTCCAGTCGTTCTGGAGACGCAGGACCGAAACGCATGGGTGTTTTGTCATTCGGGCCCGTCGGTCGCCGCGTAGGCGACGCGCCGCGTCTCGCCGCCGCTCCCCCGCGGCGCGCAGCCGGGAGTTCCCGTCGGGCGCCTTCGCCCCCCGAGCGGTAGCGCGCGCGGGTCTGGGGCTCCTCGTTCGAGACGCCCTCGCAAAAGGCCGCGCCCTGGATTCGGAGCCGCGGTGGGCCTTCGATCGAGGTCCACGTCTTGAACAGACGCACTGCCCTCCGCGCGCTCGCTCGGGGGCGGGCCCCGCGCGGGCGACCCCGACGGGGGCGCGGCCGGGAAGCGCGACGCTCGAGCGCGCGCCGAGCGCGAGGCGCCGCGCCATCGCGCGCGAGAGCGCAGTTGTCGCTTTCTGCGTCAGGAGTTGAAGGGATCGCGACGCATGGGCGTTTTGTCCTTCGGTCTCGTTGGTTAGCACGCGCCCGACGCGCCGCGTGTCCCCGCGAACCTACCGCAGCGCGCAGTCGGAAGCTCCCATCTGAGACGTCTTCGCAACAAAAAACAAACAAGCTAAACATCGTGTTTCGAACACAAAGAAGACAACAAGCAAAACATCGCGTCCCGTTCGAGACGACGTCGCAAAAAAACCCGCGCTTTGGATTCTGAATCGCAGTGGGCCATCCATCGAGATCCACATGTTGAACAGATGCACCGCCCTCCGCGCACTCGTTCGGCGGCAGGCCCGGCGCGGGCGGTCCGGATGGCGGGCGGTCAGGGCGCGCGACGCTCGTGAGAGCGCAAAGGACGTCCGCTGGGCCAGGCTTCGCAGCACCGAAGCGCATTCACGCAGGACGCAAGATTTTCCCTTTGAGGTGGAAACGGCGATGGCGAGTTCGCAAGGCAACATCGGCGCCGCCGAACATACGGCGTCTGGACGAGCAGTTTGCAGCAATCTGCACTCATGTCGAGCAGGGCCCGCCCGCGCGGAGAAGCGGTGGGATTGCGCGAGACAGCGCAGGACCCATCTTGGGAGGTTGATCGCCGATTTTCCCCCGTCGAATCTTAACACGGGCGGGTTGCGGTTGCGGGGTCCGCGGGTCCGATGCTTTCTGGGTGTTTGTACTAATGTGTAACAATCTTCAGGTCGTGTAGGAATCGGACCCGCGCGAACAACAAGACGGACATCGGATCCGCAACATCCGAAGTCGAATCCGTGCGGGCGGAAATTGGATCCACCGAAACGCAAACCAAAGCCAGCATTGGAATCCACGCAAACTGAAGTGGATCCGACGGCGGTTACTTCGAATGCGTCGGCTCAAGATCTGAAGCCGTCGTTCTGGGCCCAATAGGGGAAAACATCGTCTTGGGGATGTATCATACATCCCCAAGACGATGTTCCATACATCCCCACCAGGGCATACATCATGTATGCCCTGGTGAACCGCATTGGGGGGCGTTTCATCATCCTCCCGCTCCGCCTCGTTTTCTTCCCCCTCCCCCCTTCCCCCCCTTCCTCCTCCAGGTTGATAAGTATATATATGTGACGACGACTGCGGTGGTGGAGGTTGGCGGGTGTTTTCGGCGGTGGACGACGGCGATGACGAAGGCGACAACGACGAAAACGACGACGATGACGGCGACGACGACGACGAAGGCGTTCTACCTGGTCCTCCGCCACATCTCGCGTTTCGCCGCCGTCCTCATCCTGGGAACCGCGCTCGACCGCATCGGGCTGCTCGTCATCTGCTCTGCGACGACCTTCGTTGGGTGACTGCGGGGGGGCTCTTTCCCCCACGCCTGCAGCCCCCTCCCAGGAACGCCTCGACTTCACTGAGGAGTGGCACTTCGCCGGAGTGGCCTTTGGTGCAGGCCCGCTGGGGGTTCCCCGTTCGCCGAATGCGATGCGATAGTAGCGTCTTGCGCGCTGGTGTTTGGTCCCCACGGTGGCCCCCAAAAGGCCGCGCACCAAAGGCCTCTCTCACCCGCGGTCAATCCGAACGCCACATTCGATCTTCCAGGAGGGCTGAAAGATAGCACCATGCCCTTTTGAGTGTCATTTGTGGTCAAGGCTTCGGCACGCGCTCTGGAAGGTCAGGGCCCCCCGCTTCCTCGGAGGGTGGGCCAGCCGAGACAACGGCGGCCCTCCCAGGCGGTGTTCGTCCTCTCTGGACTTCCCCCGGGGCGCCTCGTCGCCACGGCTGGATCCGCTTCGGAGGGACCCCCGGGAGCGGTCTGCGGGCGGCTTTCCGCAGATGTGGGCCAGGTGGGAGGGCCGCGGCTGTCTCGAGTGGCCCTCTTTCGATTTTCAGGCACCGGGGGCCGAGGTGATTCACGGGCGTGGGGTAGAAGGGGGAGGGCGCCCGTGTCGGCACTGCAGACCTGGGGGGGGAGGGGGCGGGGGCATCTTCGGGCGCTCGCTTCGCCGCCTGGCTTCCAGGGCCCATGCAGAGACGACCCGCGACACAGGAGCGGGTTCCGGGGCCGAGAGTCGCCGAGGCATTCGGGGCCCCGCAAGCGGGGGATTGTCTAAACCAGAATGGTGGCGCACCCGAGAAGATTGCAGCCATGGGTCGGTCGAAGTCATCTGCACTCTGCGTTCCCTCCCGCTGGGTCTGTCAAAGTCCTAGTTTGCAAAGTCCTGGTGAGCGAGAGCCCGAGGTACTGCATCCAAACTACGATGTACCCCGACGTCTCCCCGCTGTGTCCCACGTTGCTGTTCCTCCTGAACGGCTACGTGGTCGGGAAGCTCTACATGAACGTCTTCCACCTTGCCATCGACACGAGCCTCCAGTGCTTCATCGCGTGCGAGGAGATGGGCGTGGACCCGGAGACCGTGCCCAAGGAGCTGAGGAGCTTGGTGCCCAAGAAGGGCAAGAGTGCCGAAGAGCCGCCCGATGCGGATAATTGATGATGCACGGCAGCCTTGCACGGGGCTCACGTGAGGTGCAACGCCCAGGCCAGACCACGCTTGGGGCCCCTTCTTGCGTTCTCATGAACCATTTTGTTTCGGCTACGCGTGAGAGCGATCCTCCTCACCGCTTGCCAATGGATCCGACTGCCCTGTGTTCATGGCCCCCACTGCCAGGAACTAATTACCTGTCCTTGCGCGCGCTCGATCTACGTGTTGCTGCTTGCCCTCGGGGTCACGGCTTGCCGAGGCTCGAAAGATTTGCCAGGAATACGTCTGGAATCGGCCCAGGGATCGGCTCGAGGCAGCCTGGCGTCAGGCAAGGAACCAGCAGGGCGCCGCACGCAGGGCCTGTTTCATCGTCGAGGCAGATCGGCTGACACAGGGAGGGTTTCTTCGGCCAGGGTTTCTTCTTCCTCCTCCTCCTCCTCCCCTTCCTCCCCTTCCTCCTCCTCCTCCTCCTCCTCCTCCTCCTCCTCCTCGTCCTCGTCCTCCTCCCCTTCCTCGTCCTCCTGCTCCTCTTCCGTGTGGAAGTGGAGGCCCATTCCAAGAAACACCCTGCTCGGCTCCAGGGTGCCTTGGGTTTCTTGGGCTTCGATGGATTTGCTTATGGAAAGCGTGACTTTCCCACACCAAGAATGGATGGACGTCCTGGGGTTTCTGGGTTGGGTTTCTTGTGGAAGGTTTCTTGTGGTCGGGCCCTCACTGTACCGCCGAGATAGGCCAACGTTGGTATACTTCGAATTTCTGTTGTCGAGCACGTGGAATTTGTGTCGCGAGGCGCGCGTATGGACAGGTCGGGCCCGGCTGCAGCGGCTGGCTCTCTGCTGGTCGGCACGTAAGTTGTCGCCAGCTACCCTGTCATCTTCTCCGTCTTTCTCCGTCCTCGTCCTCCTCCACCTTGACCGGGACGCCACTGCTTGATGGTGTCACGACCTTTCTGAGTTGCGACATCAGGCTGGGAGCGCAAATAACAGCATCTCCCCGAGGCGCCGTAAGTTTGAACTTGCGTTTCCGTGTGCCAGTTGCGCACTCTTGATTGCAGGTTTCAATCGCTATCCCGTGCAGCCCAGTCATGCAGTGGTCTGACGGCGCTTGATTACCTTTCGACATGTGCAAGCGAACATTGAAAACATAAGTTTGTTTGTTTGCTTTCTCGTTTCTTTCAGCGGGACCTCAGATGTCGTGTCGAGCGGTTCCATGGTCGCATGTTTTTTGGGCTGGGCCCCATCAAAGTCTGTCGTGACCAGAGTATCACGGATATCGGCAGCTGCTTTTCGGTGGGTAGTCGTGGTGGTTCAGTCCTGGCCGAAAGGCGGTGCCCCTTGTTTGCCGTGGCGGGGTCACGAGTTTTGACCCGCCGACCTTGTCTGGAGATGATGTTCGTCCTCAATCGGCCTCGCGGTGGGCCCACCACATGGCCCTGCGTGAATTGGGTGAAAGTCCAACAGCGATGATCGTCGGTGGTCCTGGTGGTGTAGTTCTGACCCCATAGTGCCCCAGGGTCTGTCGTGGCCGATCTAGTGTCCTCATCCAATGAGAAGCGACAGTAGCGGAGCATGGCGAAGCATGTACTTCCTGTGGTTTTGTGGTGATCCCTGGGCGATACTGGCTGGGATCGGCGGGGGATCCTCGAAGCCCAGTCCGATCGGCGGCCTTTTCGTCAGGAGGTGTCATAGCTACCTTGCTCACTTCGCGCACGGTGGTTTCATGTGGGCCAGCGACACTGGCGAAGGCGTTCAAGGTTGAATTCTGCGACGCGGAAGAAGCGAGGGACACGGTAACGATGTTGGGCCCGACGGAATTGAACTTTGAGCGATCAGGGCAGCGATTGATTCAAGGTTGAAGTCGGACGGGGCTAGGACGAGGATAAATCCGTTCCAGAGCGTTCCGGAACGCTCTTCTCAGAGTATTCCAGAAAACGCTTTGAGAACACCGCGGCGCACGAGACATCCTCCAGAGCAGCCGGATCTCACAGATTCTCAATGAATCCTCACCCGATTTGATCCTCGTTCTAGCTTTGTTTTATGAAGGATCGACGCGGTGTCACAAACCTTTGCGCGCGCCGACGCCGCATGAACCTATCGTAATACAGTTTGTCGCGGCGCGGTGGAGCTTTCCGTGCGTGCTCGGCGGTTATTGATCGGTGGTGCCGGTTGTCCAGCGTAGGCGAAGGCAGGGGCCAGAACGACAAGAGGGCCCGCAGTATGAGGAGGAGGAGAAGGAGGAGGCGGCGGCGGCGGCGAGCGAGGGGGGGAAGTGACAAGGAGAAGGCTTTCTCTGGTTGTGGGACTTCTCAGGAGCCCTCGCGACTTCTGAGAGGTTTTCCGTTTCTTGGGGGAAGGCTTAGAACATTTCTCCGAAAGTTGGGGGACTTCCGAGCCTTCTGAGAAGGCCCGCCCCGTCTCACTCCCCACCGGGCTCGCCGCCGAAGGAGGGCCTGGGGCAGGGGCAACCACACGATCGGCAAGAGCGAGAGTCGGGCCGGACGACAGGGTAGGAATTGGGAAGGGCGCGTTTCGAAATTAGCTGCATGCAGCTGGTTTCCGCCCCGCCGCCGGGCCCATTCCTCCATACATGGGCGCCTCACAGCGCCAGGAGGCGCCACGAAAACCAGATGCGTGAGCTGATTCTCTACCCTACCCTGCGCTATCCTTCCCTCTCGTTCCCCCAAAGAGAGGAAAAAGGCAACGGGGGGTGGAGAGGGAGGGGGCAGCTTGGAGCCGGCTGGAGACCTGAGGTGGCCCAGCACTGGCGCCACCCAGCCGGAAGGGCGAGGTCCGAGATTCTGCGTTCGTGACAGTTTTTCGTATGATTGGCACCGCCTGATCCCGAGGCTTTGCCTCCTCCCGGCCTTGCCGTGAGGCCGCTCTCCTTCTGCCCCCCCCTCTTTGGTAATTCAAGCTTCGCGCGGCCCGCTTAGCTTCGACCGGAAGAGGTGCGCTCTCGACCCGCGGATCAAAAAACAGTCTTTCGTATGATTATCGGTATTTGGGAGCCGTTTTAGATTTCATTTTTTATTCTGCAGAGGAGAATCTGCGTAGTGCAATATACATTGTGCAATACATGTTGTGCAGTGTACGTTGTGCAGTACATAATATATGTGGTGCAGTCTATGCGGTGGAAGCTAGCGTACTCATCTATGTAGTCTGAGCTATGTGGTGCAATCTACGTGATGCAATGGGTGTGGTAGGAGCTAGCATATTTAGGGAGGTTTCGCGAGCTGCGTCTTGTCAGCTATGTGGTACAATTGATGTGGTAGGAGCTACCGTACTAGTTTATGTGGTGTGAGTTATGCGGTGCCAGTTATGGAGCGCAGGCCATTGCAGCCGACCAAGTAACAATCGATTGAATTGCAATCGGTGTTATTGCATTCGTGCAAGCAACATGGTGCAACATTTGCTGTGGCATCTCTGCTTTGCAGTCGATCGCAATCGATTGGATTGCAATCGCTTGCATTGCAAGCGATTTGTTTGAAACCGATTGGATTGCGATGCGCACTAAGGCCCAGGCGACGGGCGGCGACGACGCGGCGACGGAGCGGCGGCGGCGACCACACAGCCGCCAGACCGCTCAACCGGCCCAGTCCCTCAGAGGAGTAGCGCGAACCCTCAAGTGCAAGCGCCGTGAACTTCCGGACACCTCCCGGGCATGCGGCACAGGCGCCCCCCCCCTCGCGCAGACCCTCGTGCGTCGCGGCAGGCGCCCACGACGCAGCGCTCCTGCTGTCACCTGCCGGTCTCCGCCCGGGGGGGGGGGGGGGGGGGGGGGGGCCCCCCCTGCGCAGCTCTCTCCCCGCGAGCCCCCTCGAGCCCCTGCTGCTTCCCCTGCCTCGGCGCCTCCACCCCTGCAGCGGCACCGGGAGGCGCCGGGCGCACCGCGGCGCGGGCGAGGGGGCGCGAAGGGGGGCTCTCGGCGCGGAACGGCGTCCTGGCTCGGCTCGGGGGTGGGAAGGGGAGGCAGGAGGAGGAGGAGGAGGAGGAGGAGGAGGAGGAGGAGGAGCGGAGGAGGAGGAGGAGGAGGAGAGGAGGAGGAGGAGGGAGGGGGGGAGGAGGAGGGGAGGAGGAGGAGGAGGAGGGAGGAGGAGGAGGAGGAGGGGGAGGAGGAGGAGGAGGAGGAGGAGGAGAGGAGGAGGAGGAGGAGGAGGAGGAGGAGGAGGAGGAGGAGGGGGGCGCAGTGCGGGGGAGCGAGAGCCGGCGGACGAAGCGTGGCAGGGGCCGCGGCTGCGCACGGGCACGCGGCCGCGGTCGCCGAGAGGGGGGCGGCACGGTGGGCGAGGAGGGCCGCCTGCGCGCGGCGGCCCGGCCGCTCCCTTGCGCCCGCGGGCCTCGCGCAGCGCCCCGTGCAGCCGCCGGGCCCATGGCGGCCTAGGCCACCGCCTCGGGGGGGGGGGCAGCCTCCGCGCGCTCGGCGGGCGGTGCCGTGGTCGAGCCCCCCAGACATGGCCAGCTCGGAACATGCCCATGTCCCTCCGATTGGGGTCCTAATGCCTTGATGCCGATCTCAAGGATCCCCTCGGTGTCTGAGGGTGCATCTCTGAGGTTGTCATCGCCCGTGGGCTTCTCAGTCTCAGGGGTATAGGGAAAGGCTCGAGGCTGGTTACAAAACCGCCTGCGATCCGACTCTTTCCACCCTCGTCTGTTTTTGGATTTCTGTACCTGATGGCCGTTCTCAGGACCTGGGACCATCGAGACGAACAACCTACACCCAGAGAAGCGGGACCTTCTGGAGCCGCGGACTGAGGAAACAGTTACCCCACCAAAGCACCCTGATAGCAGCAAAGGTGAAGAGGCGAGTCGAGGAGTAGGAGAGGCACAGCCGGGACGCCTTGAGAAAGAGAAGATGCAGCCAGGACACGGGTGACAGCCCGGCCATGTGCACCGTAGTGCGTGTGTCCCGCAGGCGTTTCGCGAGCGGGTGCAATCAAGGGTAGACGAGGACAGCAGAAGAGTCCCGCGGGGGGACGGGGAGCCCGTGACTGCCCCGTCCGGCACCTCCCTCCGCCTCCTCTGTTTCTCCCAGTCCCTCCTGGGCTCCCCTCCTGTTCACATTCGCAACTGTCCACGATGCGCACTACTCTCTCCTTTCCCGTGGCACTGGGCAGCGGTTAGCCTGTCGATCCCGCGAAGCGTCTGTTCACAGAGGGTTTCAGAGTAGACATTCCCCATATCCTGAGCAAGTGGTCTTGTTATTACTCAGACGCCTCCGGCTCACAATTCGCCCACACGTTACTCACACATCTCTCCCCCTTCCTCTCCCGCCTGTCTTGAGTTGTTGCCGTCGTCGTTGTCGTCGCCCACCCTCATCGTAGCCGCCGCCGTTGTCGTCGTTGTCCTCGTCGTACACGTCGTCCACCCAGATGCCCAGACACACATACACAAACACTCACGCATACACTCAGACGCTCGTAGCAGTACGCGTTCGGGGACGATGTGCACATAATGATGGGGATCTCCGCGTCGGTTCAATGTTTCAAGCCGCTGGAACTCCGTTCCACCTTACTAGTTCATCATTGTCATGCCATTAATTCTGAAACGTGTTGACGAACGCTTGGACTTGATGGTGCCGCGCAGGCCGACAAACCCCTATCTTATTACCAGAGACGTTCTGTACGCTGACGACACAATGCTCGTAGCCCAGGAACCAGACGCACTTCAAGCCCATCTGGACTCGGTCGCGGATCTGGGGAATAAGTACGGCTTGCAACTAAATGCGGGAACATAATATCATTAAACCTGAGGATGGTAAGGACAATGTACGCGCCAGACGGCGAAGAGATCAAACGTAAGGATCATGCTGTTTATCTGGGTGGAGTGATCAGTACCGATGGGAAGCCCCAGACGGAACTTACACGGCGCCCAGGGGAAGCAAAAGGGATTTCCCAGAAGTTGTCAAGAGTCTGGGGGCCAAGCTCAGTAGAAAGCACAAGACCAGGGCATGCAGCATGCATCTTCTCGAATCTTTGGTATGGGCTGGAATATTGTTTGGTCTTACAAGAAGACAGGAGCAGGGTCGACAGCTTCCAGGCGAGGTGCTCACGATCAGTATTCAAATCCCACCTTCTGCTGTGTCCCGCGTGAGCAATGCAGATGTTCGTGAGTGTGTGCAGGTCCGGCCTTCATCGACAACCTTACTTGAAACGCAGCTTGGACTGTATGGTAAACTTGCCCATGACGGCGCCAGAGGTTTACCGAGAGCTATGGTGTTCGAGTGTGGTGAAGGTTC